GACTACTACACATTCGGCCAACTACTTACTACTTAATATAGATACTAATATGTAGTAAAAATCCTCTATGATCAAATGATACATCGTTGCTGTCGCCATACTCATCTCCACGAAAAAGAAGTATTCAAATATTCAAACATACAGCACATTCACAACGTCTCATTTAGACTCCTCCTGCGGGTAAGGGGTTAGAATATTCCCGAGGTAGGCATAACTGTCGTAAGAGGCGACTAAAATCCCGGCGCTATGTCGACACTTGGCAGGAAGTGTACATGGTAGTAAGTGTTGTCCCAGCTTGCGACACTTGAGCAGAGGTGTGAATCTGGTACTACTAGGGTCAGTAGCCAGCAGCTTCAGGTGTGATGACCAGTTGATGTTAGACTCGTAGTGGCTGTGCTTAATACCCAAACTTACGTGGGTAGAATGATCAGGTATTTATTTATCATATTATTTAAGAATAAATCAAGGGAAATTAGACCAAAAATTTCGAATGGAACACTGCAGAATATATTTCCCAAAGGGAAATTATTGACATATTTTAATATGTAATGTTTATGAAGATTTATATTCCATTTAAGAAATTATAATTTATAGTAGATATTTTATTTTAGAGCGAATATAAAATTTTAATGAAAATTCACAACTACTATATACCATATTGTAACTAAATAATACATCTACATAGCTCTATTCAAGTATTGGGTCTATTAACTGCCGAATTTTATTTAAAAGTAACAAAAATGTATAGTAAAATGTATATTAAATAAATAAATCATAAACATTATTACTGAATCGTAATTACTTTATTTGTTGTAAACTGATAATAAAATAAATCATTGCAAAACGAGTAGTGGCTGTGATAAAGCAATTTATATATTAATAAACTGATTTTATGCACTATCACCTGAAGGTATTTACTATATCATTATTATGTAAAGTTTATTTATATAAAATATGCAATTAAAACGGTTTTATCACCGCTTGCTGAAATAAAAATATATAAAATAAAAAAATTATATAAAAACAACTTTTTATTGCTGAAAGCCATAACATTTTCAAAAGTTATTTACTTTTTATTTGATTTAAAAATTTATCAAATAAAATTATTTATTTATTTTATGTTAAACTGTGAAAAAAATTAAAACATAAAATTTCAATCTACAGTAATAACGATTATTTCTATGCAGTTAAAGGCAATTTAAACAGTCGCTCTAATATTTTTGCACAGAAGAACAAGTATAGTACTTGCTAAAAATAATGTAAATTGACTAATCACCTCTGAGGTCTGCTCTTTCCAAAGTTCAAGCTTAGAAATATATAGAAGAGTTCAATGGGAGCTAAGGCTCACAGGAAAACAGATCACAGTAACTATGGTGAATCGTTTAGGCTATGAATAACCGCAGCCGAACAGAAGCCATCAGTTTAAGTAAAAATAACATTAATCTATTCTCATGCACTTTAACGCTATCCATATAAATCATTCTCATTATTGTGTTATACTAAAAATGAAGATTACATTTAATTATAAAAAATCCAGGAATTATAAGATAGACTTTAATCATGTGATGCAAGCAGAATTTATTACTGACGTTCAATGCTTGTTCTCAGCTATTAAAGCGATTTCAATGCAGAGAAATGAGGAACATAATATTATTCAATATTAATGATTTTCATTTAGTCTCTTACGATTTTCGTATTTTTTCGTCACCCGGAACTATGACAACACAAGCAACTCTACTGACGTTAAATATTTCGACAACTTCTATATTTTTCATGACCTGTGATAATACGTAACCCTTTAAGAAATAATTTCTTATATTATTGCTAGTGTTTTAGTCGTTCAGACTGTTTAGGTCTTTCTATCTATTTGATCTATCTATCTATTTTGATCTAGCATACAAGCAACCTTTACTACAATAAAACAATAGGTAGTACGTTTGCTCATGTGGGCTTTGATATAGGAAGACGTCTCTAACTTTACCTGATAAATTCATTTATATTTTAAATCAATTTAATTCTTATGGTAAAAAAGACACATCCATCTGAAGGTAAATCAGCTATCATGATTGAATTAGTACTTTATTACTTAAGTATATTAGTATTATTTTATTTCTTACTAAAATTATTTAATAAAATTATTTAACATTAAAATTATTTAGTGATAGCGAATTGTGGTACTTCCTCGCACGTCTATAAGCAAAGATAATGGAAACCTACTTTCTTTCGAGTTTTTGTTTATATAAAACATTAAATGCTTATCGCAATACAAATAAAAATATTTCTGCTTCTTTACTTTGATTTCACATTTAAATAAGTGCTCCCAAGTTTACCGTAACTTATATCAATATCCACAGCAGCATCAGCAGCAATGCTGCACCAGTGGAATCTTAATGTTTGCAATAGGAAGCAACACCGAAGAATGTCTTCGAATATCTTCAGTTTCTCATATTCTGTAGACGACAATTGTAGATTTTTATTAGCAACATAAATATACCAACGCCAACGCCAACAACAACATTAACATTTGTTTAGCTGTTCACTGTCCAGCAACTCTCTACTCTATAGCAAAAGTCACATAGGCAATGTTCCTCCGCCTGAAATTATGCAATGAAATAAATTGTTCTTCAGCATAAATATTGTTCATTGAAATTATGAGGAAATTCAAGACGCACAGTTATTTGCATAGAAAAATCGTAAATGTAGCTTGGTGACTTGGAATTGGTTCGACTTGTTATTTGTGGCAGTTCGAGTGGCATCTAGCATAGGAGTGGGTGTGAAGAAGAAACTTGGAAGTTATGAAGTAAATTCTCTGAAGTTTTCTTCGTCGTTTTCTTTTTGCATATATTTCAATAATTGTAAGTGCGCAAGTACCTTGTAATTGTAATTGATATGGTTATTTACATTTTTATTAAATTTCTGTGCTGAGTGCCACAGTAAATATTGGACTGGGACTTAAAGTTGAAGTTGAAGTACGTTCCCATTCAGATTGAAACAGAAAAATAGAAATAAATGAAGTTAAGATATTAATATTACTTCATATTATTGTGTTATTATGAAATATATTAAATGATTTTTACATCTTATACTGCTAATTTAATCACTGTTTTTAGTATGAACTCAAATTATTAGCACTTAATTTTATTATTAAGCTCATAAAAAAGTTCCTCTGAACTTCACCGGGTATAGTTGCTTGATCATATTAACGTTACACACAGCTTGTTGCACATCAAATTGCTTTCTCATGCAACAACAATTGCTTTCCGTAATACTTCGTTGTAAAGAAAAGTAGCTTCATTCCACCCAAGTAAATGTGCTTTGTACTTATGCATTACCTTAACATTCACTGCATCCTATGCATCCTTTAATGTCACACACATACGTTGCTTGCCGGGATGCAGCTACCAGAGTCATAAATTTTGTGGCTTAAATTAAAATTGCATAGCATGCGACATGGTTAAAAGTTTTTATGCGTGTACCATTCAGTCGTAGGATTTCATTCAGCTGCAATCTGTGCTCCAGGTGCATTAAGTCAACTAGTTGGAACTTGTTGAACCGGCACTCATGCTTTCGCGGAGTTCAGCTCAGTTACGTTCCCACGAATTTTATGTCTGACATTAATAAAGCACAACCATAAAAATTCAGTGCTGCCAACAGTCAAAAAATAATGTGCTGTAAAAATATTATAATTGAGGCATAAAATAGATGAGACGACATCAAATAACATGGGAGTATCTACATTATCCGATAGAGATATAAAATCATTTCATACGATTCCAATATTTGATATAGTAACAGTAGTAAACAGTAGTAAATGGAAAACTTTGCAGAAATAATCTATAAAATGAATCACATAGGGCTATATAACATTATTTATATATTTATGTGGTTAATAGTACTAAATAAATAACACTACTTTGACATTATCATTGGATTATATTGAAGACAAATGATATATATCAATTGACAATACATAATCACGGTGCACGAATATAATCAATCCAAGTGCAAAATTAAAAATAGCTACCAGTAATTTTAGATTTACTAATCCATCCATATTAAAAACCAAGTTTTTCGTCAGTTAACCTATCATAAGGTCACCTAACTACATATGCTCTTATTATTAAGGAAACTGAAAAGTCAACTTCCATTAAATTGTAATAATATCTGTGATAATGGTTCCTGTCAAAAACATTGCAGAAAAATTATATGTCATAACTAGCTAGAAGCAATTATAAGTACGATCACTTAGCAAATCCTTCAATTGAAAATTGCGTATGTGAGAGATCCAAGACAATACCAAATACCGTTGCCAAACTGCAAGTAACTGAGACTACCATTTTAGGAAATCTTTGTCATCTTTGAGTGGAAAAATGTATGAATGAACTTATGAAGTGAAGTTTTTACATAAAATTTGACATAAATTTTAAACGTATCTTCTCTGTCTGACTATTACAGGTAGTAAATCTGTCTTTTTTTTCTGAAGTTAAGGGCTATAGTGTGGTACCAGAACCTGTAAGATTTTGAATGTTTTCGTTACCATTGTTATCGGAACGATTCGATGGTTATTAAAACGATTTTACAATCATTTCTAAAGCACTGACGAAAAACATTACATATGTTGTATCGATAGAGGGCCACATATTAATATTGTGAATATGTATTTGTTGAAAAGTAGATATTTAACATAAATAAACCCTAAATAAACTTTTCTGAATTAATCCAGTTTCTATTACAATTTGTTACTTATATAGTACAACATGTTTTACTCTCATTCTCGCTCCAACATATTCAAAATAACCTTTAAACTGTAAATTCTTTATGTACTCCAAGCTTTTAGTTGGCAATATTTAAATTAGTAGTAAAAAAAATTAAAACCACTGCCACCTATGGCATTAAAAGAGTTTATTTTTTATCAGCATTTCAATTGATTTCAGTTTTACTTTCAATGGTACTTTTCAGGACACTATTAAGTGCCGTGTAGTCAGCATCTATCCTGAGTTCTAACCATTCAAGCAATGCTCATGGTAACTCTGACCGCGTACATCTGTAGTGCACTTACATTTATCTTTAGCAACATTGTCAGCATTGACGACGCAGTACATGCACTTCTCATTAAGACCAATTTTGCAAACTGGACAAATGTCAACTCCAATATCTGAGAATGAAAGACAATTAATTACACATTTATGTTATGATTTATCAAGAGTATATTTATTGCTCTTACCCGATGATGACAAGGTAACAACGTTCCACTAAATAAAAGATAAAAAAACATGAAATATTTTGCATTGAATTTGTAAAATGTTTTATCATTATTTACGTTTATCATGTTTAACATTTTATCCCGAGCAGCACTATTCGAAACAATTGGTGGCTCAAAACCCCAGTAATTGCCATTATTGATACAATCCATTATATAACTCTAATTAAAAGTGAAAATCAGACGATAATACGTTCAGCAGAAATTTTTAGTCTACGAACTAAAAGTTAAATTCTAAAATGTCAAAAATGAATAATTTTTTTACAGGAGAAATAAAATATTGCATATCTCGCTGCTATTTATGTGTGATTTACACAATACAATTTAATCTGACTACTTTAAATACATGGTCAATTTCTAAATACCTATATGAAATTATACTACGAGACATAAAATTGTAAAAGTGCTTGATGGTTACTGATAGAACGAGACTATAACACAAAGTTAACTCAGGAGTCTCTATTTATACTAAGTCAACTAATTGCAATTTTTAAATATAAATGTGTACAGTTTTTAGTAAAACAACAAAAAATATGCAGCATACTAAAACGCAACAAGACATATAACATATATGGATCAATAGTCGTATGTGGATCCCTAGAAACGCCTATACAACCTCACCTTACCTAATGTAATATAACAGAATGTTTAAGCAAATGTGTATTTTCGTTCAGCAACATATGTTGCTTGTTATTCCATTCCTTTTAAACATGTTGGTAACATATTTATTTGGTATAAACAACCATTCAACTGGTCAAAACTTATATGCCACAAAACTGTTGGTATAGAAAACTCTCATCACAATAAATATGGCAAATGTTGTTGTGCATATTATACAGCGTTTTAATTCATAAATTTATTTTATATACAATAACTTTTATTTTTATATTATCTTTTAGGTCATGAGGGAATTTTACTTTTATTAAAAATAAAATTATAAATTTTATTTATTTATTTTAAATTTATTTATATCTCTTGATAATTTTTGATTGTCATCTTTATTTTTAATATTAATCAATTGAATTGACATAAAAAAAAACATTACAATAAAAATAATTTTTTAAATTAAAATTAATGTGGCCTTTAAGAGAACATTAAAATTAACGTACATATATAAAATTGTTTTTATTTATTACAACCTTTACGATATGTTCGATGTTGATATGAAATATTTATATGAAATTTATAAATTTCCGTGAATTGCAGTAGGAGTATTAATTTTATTTTTTAAATGAATAGAATTCGTACCATCGTATAACCATAAGTTGCTTTACTTTGAATTTGTATAAATAAAAATAAAAATAGTATGTTTACTAAATTTTAGGGATTTTTTAAAGCTACTAAATTGTTTTAATTTTAACTGCCATTAGTTTAAGTTACTGTAAGTTGTAATATAGTAATAAGAAGTTAAAAGTCAGTATGTTTGTTACTTATTAACATATCAACAATATCACAAACTAAGCAAACTCTGCAACATGTTGAACATAATGCAGCTCATAGTTTACTATTTTTTTCGAACTTGAACTTTAACTTTTATTCTATGCTCTTGACAACTTAACACAAGCGCACAAGTAAGCTAAGTTCTCCCTTGCAACATTTGCAGCAACATCGCCGAAATGTACTACTTAACTTATTAACAAGTTCCACAAAGTGCTGTAACGTTAGCAACACAGATACTCGTAGGGACTTGAAACATGTATGTAGGAAGTAATTGAGCTGCAGTGCTCTTGTTGTATGCTAACAAGAAGGTGTTGACAGGCTTCAAAGCGGATAATATTTGTGTTCTTTAAATGAGCAGCAAATATGCGTAAGTTAATATTTTAATTTTATACCTAATAAAAAATTAATAAAATATTTATTTTATAAAATATTATATATGAGCATTTCAAAGTATAAATATAATATACTTAACTATTTGAAGACAATGTGGTAACAAATATACGTGACAATTACCATGTCAGTGAGTAACAGAGTAAATAAAATGAATGCTTGTAATTTAAAATATAATTACTACCCATATGTGCATAAATAACAAACACACATAAGCTGATAATTAATTACAGGGTCCTTTCCAGCTCACGAAAAAATATCCAAGCAAGCACATCACTGAATAGGAAATAAAGTCTTTAAATCCGTTTGAATTGCCGCACTCACACGTAGCATTTGCAGCATTTACTGCATTGCAAGGGACAGCAAAAAATTATGTATAAAAGGATTACAAAGGATTAAGTTACAAAGTACGCATAATTTGCTAACAAAATATGTTTAAAATCATGGAAAAGGCACAAGTTCTGCTACACGCCAGCGGCAATTTTCATAAGCCAACAAAATATGACACAAACCAAAGAAAAACAAAAAAAAATAAAAAAAAGATTGAAAATGCGGAAAAAAGGTAATAAAGAGTTGTTATTTTTCTGGTTGTTGTTGTTGTAGTAGCGGCTATTGTAGCTGCCGCCGTAGCTGTTGTACCACACATAACTGACCCAGTTTACTTAACATTTTTTTATTGTCCTGTTATGAACATATTGTTGAGTATATAAATCTGCTATCATTTAGGTTCATGTAACATAAAATGAATATGAAAACTGGCCACTTAAAACTCCCACAATATCCCGTGCAAATTTTTTTTTTTATTCCAATAACTTTTTTTATGTACGAGTACTTATTTTTGTGTAGTTTACTTTCTGTTGTTTTTATTGTTGTTGTTGTAACGTACTCTGTAATTTATAGCAATGCGAGCACGTGAGGCATAATTTTATCATTCATAAATAACGTTGATATTGTAAATAAAGTGTATGAGGAAACGAACACACGCACATACATATATACCACCAACTAGCATGTAGACGACATGCAATAAAAACAAATACAAATACAAACACACCCAACATAAAATCACCTGGCCGCAAATGAAATTACTAACACTTGACCTCCCACAAATTTGAACCCATACACAAGCCCGTAACCAACATCAAACCGCCATTAAGTAACAGCAGCAGCAGCAGCAGTAGCAACAACATTGCCAGCAAATCGTAAAGCACAATTACAGCGCAAAACTTAGCTGCGCTATTTCGCTGCCTAACATGTGGTCAGCATGTGTTGATTGACGCTGTGCTTTCATGTTTTTATACCCGCAATGTAAAATTTTCGAAAAAAGAAAAGTACTCACCCCAGCTTAGTGGCTCAACATAAAAAAGCTGCCGGCATTGCTGGCCATAGTTTTTTGGTTTTCTTCTATATTAATTTCATAACCTCACTGTTGTCGTTATTATTGTTTTCTGTGCATTAGCTTCACGCATTACTGTTGCTTAACAGCGAACGTCAACAGCCATCATTTTGGTTTGGTTTTGCAGCGTCGTCACAATTTTTGCTGCGTACTGCTCACTATTGCTTGGTCTTTTGACTGTTATTTCTACAGCGGCGTTGACTGCTTGTTGAATTAATTACCACTTAAAGGTTTGTGTTTCTGTTATGTTTACAGGTATTTTAAACTGTTTTTTTTTTAATTTTATATTTGGGGTTTTGACTGTTTTGTGAAACGGCTGCATTCTAATTTGTTAACTTAAATTAATAAATTACTTTGCTGTCAAATATTATTTAAATATATTTCACCAAAAACAATAATCATTTTATAAGAAAATTAAACAAAATTTGGTAAAATTTACGTAATTAATAAAAGTAAAATTTAATAATTCCCATTTATTTTCGAATAAAATGCTAATACTAATCTTCTTAAGTCTTTTTATATAAAAAATTTTATGACTTTGGTTGAGAAAAAGCTAGAACTCTACACTAACTACAATAACTTTATTTATATACGAAACATCAGATGGACAATGGGTCATACAATGTCATAATTGATAATAATCAGATATACCGACCTGTTTCCTGAGTTATATTTTTTCTGTTTCATATTAGCCCATTGAAGTAATTATAAGTTTAATCTTTCCACTTTCACCAAATAAATCCATAGAGTCTACATAAGAACTATACAATTTTACACATGTCCCAGTAGTTTTTTATGTTGTCTACAAATAAATTTCCTTGGATAATTATGTCTACAAATGCAAAATTACTAATAGACATAATACATACATCGTACAATAAATAGACAAATGTTTCTCCTGCAATTTTTTTCAATTCAAGTAGTATGGATTTCCCAACTTTGAAATTTATTCAGTTGAATTTAGAAATACTCTCCATTTTAACTGACCACAATAAACTGCACTTATCTTTAACATTTATTCTTAGTGGTTCCGTTGTAGTTAAGGTCGAAGGTTCAATAATCGCGTAATTAAAAAACATGTTTTCAATAAAAAAGTAACGGAATTGGAGATATATTGGCTTAATTCACATTTTAACCACCTTAAAAATGGTTGTATAAATGTATCTAAAAATCAATTAAACTGCATAATAAGTATTTTATAAACCGGTTTTAATCAGGAATATTAATCTAGTGTAACCAGGCATGAACTATATATGAATAAATGCAATTTAATTTTAAATTGTGCCTAGAATTAGGCAATAAAATTTTTAAATAAATTCACACTGTTTCGTATTTAAGTGAGTAAAAAAATAATTAAAATGTTCGTAAACAAAATAAAATTGCAGAAAGTTGTTCACTTTTTTCTTCTAATCCTATTAGAATGCATTAAATTCAAATTAAAATTATTCAGAAAGTTAAAATAATATTTTTGAAAAATTTTGTTGGCGAAACTCTCCCACAGTGGATGCGTCGAGCATTTGTGAATGCGTTTATTTTTCTATGGTTTGACAAACTTGCATTTAAAGTTTCTAAATGAAAATAGTTTAATTAAGTTGCCTCTGTTTGCATAGTTTGTTTTTGAATTGAAAACTTCACCTTATTTTGCATCGCTTTTGCCTACTTTTCCTTTGCTGCACGCAATTTTACTATTTAAAAGTTGTTACTTTTTAATTTAAATGTGGAAAAATAAAAAATGCCTGCAAAATGTTGCATGTTTATTTTGCATTAAATAGGATGAAGCATTCAAAAACGAGCAAATAAAACTTTTATGTAAATAAATGTAAACAGGATAGGAGTAGTACACCTACTGGTTGTGTTGGTTATTGAAACAACACCTCGCGTCAATACGACACCAGACAGAAACACATATAAGAGCTTCCAAACAAATGGCCACATATGTTACATTGAGTTGGTTGGTTATTATTTGCCTTTGGGAGCCCGACCTA